AAAAATGGTGGTTAGTTGCACTTTAAGCTTTTGTTATAACAGCTTTAGCCTTACATGTATAATTGTAAAATGTTCTACCATAATTGATTTTGTACCCTTTCCTCGGATCTTGTGCTGCTGCATTAGATAAAGAGTAAACTTCTATGTATATTTTTTTGGCCACATCTCAAGTGTGGTTTTTTAGAGGTTTTTATATATGGCATAGCACAGGTTCTAATTGTTACAACCAGTATTTGTAATGTGTAGTTCCAGAAAATATCCATACCCCCACCACGGAGGGAATTTCACGCAAGCCCCTCCCCCCTCCTCCCTCCTCCCTGGAATTTCCAATTTTTGAACACTAAAATACCCCCCTACCCCTCCGGAATTTCCACGAGTATTATGTGCACCCCCCATACCCTCTGGAAAAATAGTTTTGGCAAGAAAGTAAACCCTCCAAACACTTAGCAGTCTGCATTGCATGCCACAGCTGTTTATTCTCGATCGATCGTATCATCTGAAGATACATACAAAGAAAACATACAGCTATTTATTTAAACATGCTTTAAAAAAATAGATAGAATGGTAGCTTGTCAAATGACCTTCCTACATGACTAAGTCCCTTTAGTACCCTACTGATAAGATAAATGTGGACGAAATTGACACCATATGTTTATCGTGAACAAGATTGCTGACACACTCGCGACGAAAGCAATGTCACAGCAAAATTATATACAAATGGAGAGTTAAACATGACTAAAAAATACTCAAGTTTGTGAAATCCTAACATCTTTTCTACCTTTATGAAGAAATTTATTTTCACAAAAGAAATCAATTGCCACTCGACAGCTTTCAAGCCCGAAGCGAAAACAAACTAGGCTAGTCACCAGTGCTCTTTGGTCCACAAGATGACTCCATGTAGACTAGTAACAGGTAATGGTGGCCATTTCCACGCAACAGCACGTTCTTCATATTTCATAGTTGCCAAAGTGCTTTTTGAAGAGAGACAATTTATTTCAAATATAATGCGTATTCAAGCTATTTTCCCATGTGAAAGATCTACTTAGTGGGTAAGAAAGGATATTTGAACAGTTAGAACAATACTTGAATCGGTATTGAATCAAAGGACATCTGGAAACTAAAGTGACTGTCCAACCCCCCTCCCCTCGGGAATTTCCTGGGTCTTTGACCCCACACCCCCACCCCTCCGGAATTTCCAATTTTCTCTGTGGTGGGGGTATGGATATTTTCTGGAGCCACCCAATTTGCAAGGAGACAGACAGATAGAATACATCTGCATCAGATGACTGAAAATGCTGCTTTTCTCCACCATATTCAGCCTTAACTACCTAGGAACTCAAAGATTGACTTCATCTGTGATGAAAAAAGACCTATACAGCAGATACGCTACATTCAGAGAGCATCTGATAAACACAACCACACATTTGATAACGTCTACGAATCAACAGATATCCAGAAAACACCATAGATGAAACTAAGTGCCTCAGCAATCACCACCGAGACCCCCAAACTTCAAACGCACAATGGCTATGCTTCAAAAACCCATTCATCACAGACCGCCTATAGACTGTTCTGTTGTTGTGTAGTTAAGTCCCACAGCCTTTAGTTTAGGTAAGTGAATTTATTGAAAACATTGCCCTCTAGCACATGGCTGTACAAAATCAGTAATATTATATTGTGTCTGCATCATGCAATCTAACTCACATCTTGAGTTACAGT